GAGATTACCCCGCAGTCTCCCTGCACCCCACCCCAGGGACTCAGCAGTGAGGCTGCACCCAGTCCTGATGCAGTCCAAGGGCCAGGCCTGCCCCAGAAACACCCTGGGGGCCCTGCCCCTCTGTGCCAGGTGCACCAGGTGTCTGTAATTAAGCTCAGCCCAGCAGCAGGATCCAAGTGCAGAGGGACTTAGTGTGGGGGGATCCAGGTGGGGGAAGAGAGTTCTCTGTGGGGCAGTCTGGGTGTGGGTGGCTCACGGGGAGATCTAGATTCACAGAAGCTCATGGGGGGAGGGGGTCCAGGTGCAGGGGCAATGGGACTCTGCAGGGGATCCAGGGGAAGGTATCGGGGGCTCGGCGGGGGGGGGGGGGAGAGGGGGAGTTCCAGGTGCAGGTGGTTGGGGCTCAGTGGTGTGGTACAGATAAAGGGGGGGCCTTGTCAGGGTGAGGGTTCAATGGACCTGCTTAACAGGGGAGCCCCAGCTTCTGCCCAGGGGATGCCACATGCTGGGCTCCAGCTTTCCTTCTGCCCCCACTTTCCCCCTCCCCTTCCCCACTGCTCCATCTCCTCCCCATCCCACCCCCTTCGCTCCAGTGCACCCCACCCCATGCACACCCAACGAGCCTGCAGCTCCAGTTCTGTCAATGCACCCCCAACCACCCTCTAGCCGCTCAGTCTAACTGCACCCCACAGCCCTGCCAAGTGCACTCCAGCAAAGTAACAGCAACAGTATATCAGGGAAAGAAGACTTCAGAGAAGTGGGTTCCCTGCTTCCAGTGGGGAGGTTGGGGTGCAGTAATAGGGAGGTAGCCAGGCTGCAGGAGAGAATGCACTGAATAGGTAAGAGCATAGCTGAGGAGACATGCTGAAGCAGGGTTGGTGGGGTTAGAGTTTCCACCCCTCCAGGTTTTACCTGGACAGTCCAGTCTTTGGCTTCTGTGTCTGGGTGCCATTTAGGGTTGCCAATGCCAGGTGCCTGGTTTTCAACTGGAAAGTCAGATAGAAAAGGGGACCTGGTAGTGTCCAGTCAGAGGTACTGACCGGACACCAAAAGTCCAGTTACCACAGGGCAGGGGGAGCATCTGATTATTAACACAGGCCAGCCCCTGCTCAGCTAGGACTGCCTCCTACCTGCAGGCAGTCTCCTTGTCAGGCTGCAGCAGCTCCTGTCCCAGCCCCAAAGGGAGCCCAGGGGGTGGGGTGAGTGGAGATGATTCAGCGAGCAAGAGGGGGGGCTGATTACCAGCAATTAGAAAGGTGGCAACCCCAAGTAGGGTGCAGCCAATAGGTGCGCACATGGTGGGAGAGAGAGATGCAGGTGGCTCAGTATGCTCATTACAAGACATATATACAACTGTCTAAATCATTACTAATGCCTAACAACACGTTTTCCTGTTCAAAAAGCTAAGAAATTCAAATGGCAAGAAAAATACATTAATGCAGAGTTAAAGTTGGTTGGTGGCATACTGTCCCCTTTCACCATGCTGAGTTGTCAAAACTCTAAAGTCTGAAAACCAGGAAAGGCAATTAAGATTGCCCATACAACCTTAACTCTGCCCTCTTTCACAATGCCCCAATATGCCTATTAGCACACATACCTTTACTCTGCCAACCCCCCAGTTGCTGAAACGTACAAGCTTTTCGTACAACTTTCTGAATCCTATAATGCCAAGGGCCAGTGTGAGTATGTGCTGTGTGCACGTTGAGGCGTTGCTGAAAGAGGGTAGAGGGGAGGTAGTGTGGGGACGTAGTGTGGGTAATCTTTCCTCATCCCCTGCCCCTTTTGTCCTTTAATAATATTAGCTGGAATAGGTGAGAGCGAATGGGTGGAAAGGAAGTGAAAAGTTTGTACATTTCAGTAACTGTGGGTTTGACAGAGTAAAAGGTATATGTGTTAATGGGGCGTATTGGGGCATTGCTGAAAGAACAGAGTTAAGGTTGCCCGGGCAACCTTAACTCTGCATTTCCTGGTTTTTAGAATTTCCTGAGTTTTACTTAATTTTGTGCAAGGGGACAACATACCAACACGTAATTTTAACTCTGCGTAAGTGTAGTTTTTTTGCCATTGAAAATATATGTCTATCTGCAATTTCCCTTACTTCTGGTGACATACAAAAGATAAAACCAAGAGGCAAGCCATCTTGGCTCCAAGGCTGTCCAAATGCACTTGAAAAGCCTCTGAAGTGAAAGGCATAATACAAAATTCAAGGTTATCTCCAGCATTTCTGCCCAATTAACTATTCCCAGATTTTACATTGCTTGGGGATAGTTCTCCACCTATTAGTCTCTAGCTAAGCCAATCAATCACCCTTGTATTTGCATACAATCCGTTCATGGTTTGGCTGAGTTAATCAGAGATGGTTCTGTCACTGATACCATCCATTTTCCATCACTCAGACTCAATCTAGGGATCATCTTTGAAACTCCACCATCCACTCCTTTGTTCCTCCCATCCAGGCAGTGTCCAAATCCCACCACTTCCTCCGTAACATCTAGGATTTAACCGTTTCTCCACCCACACAGCTAAAATTTGACAAGACCCTCATCTCCCACCTTAATTAAAAATATAGGCAGAGCTGTCATCAGTGGCAATCCGTCGATTTGAGAATCTCTACCACAGATTTACACATGGGTCCTGAGATGACTCAGGAGTCTGATCCTGGAACCGCATATCCGCCCGCAGTAGGTACAGACATTTCCTGGTGGGTCAGCTGCCTGCATGGAGAAAGTTGTTTCTTTTTCCTTCCTTCCCTCTTTTTTCAGCTTTGAGGGCAAGGTGCTTCTCCTCAAAGCAGGCCACTGCCTGATGGAGGATGTGGCCCCATTGAGGTTGGTTGGTGGCTTGCCCCTCCCAGCTTGCAATGTCCACGTCAGTTTTCTTGAGATATGCTTTCAGTATGTCTTTGTAGCTTTTCCTCTGACCACCACAGGATCTCTCACCATGGGTGAGAGTAGAGGGCTTGTTTTGGAAGGTGAGAGTCAGGCATTCACACACAATGTCCAGCCCAGTGGAGTTGGTGAATGGGCAGATTTGTGAATACTAGTGTGTCATTCATCTTCTCTGCTCCAATGATGGTGGTCTCAACCCCCCCTTGGTTGTTGAAGTGGGTAGTCTCTATTCAGGGCCGTCCCTAGCTATTTTGGGGCCCTACGCAGAATCCCCACCCACAGTGGGGGTGGGGTGGGGCCCCAGGCCTCCATGGGGGGGCTGGTTTGGGGGGCACAGGGGAACAGCCCCCCAGCACTCACCGGCAGCGCAGTTGGGGCTGGGCCCTGCACTTCCCATCACTGGTGAGTGCAGGCCCAGCCCTGCTGCACTCAGGGGCAGGAAAGGGTGGGGCTGGGACTTTGGGGAAGGGGTGGAGCAGGGGCAGGAAGAGGTCGGGCTAGGGCAGGGGCCATGGAGAAGAGGCGGAGCAAGGGCTGGAGCAGCACGCAGCTGCGTAGGGCACCAAGAAATTTGATGCCCCAAATTTCTTGGTGCCCTACGTAGCTGCGTACTTTGCGTATGGGTAAGGATGGCCCTGTCTCTGTTCTTCCCATGCCACTCTCTCCATGTGGAATACCCTCTAAGACTGTCTGAAAAGTCACTACACTCATCAAGACCTAAAATAAACTGTGTACTTTGCCTCTCTTCTCCCTTCACATTTATATCTTCTCAGATTGAGAGCTCTTCAAAGCAGGTTCTGTCTTGTATGGACCGCACCTAGCCAACTGTGGGTGCTCCGGCTGCCAGAATACAAATACTGGGGATGACTGGGAGGAGAACAGCACACATTCCCCTCCCCTGACATCCACAAAGCTTTGCAACAGGCTACTTGAAGACTTTCTGCCCTGGCACAGAAAGTCCCTCCAACCTACACCTGACTCACTTGAAATAAGTGAAAACACAGCAAGTAGAGGGTTAAAGACATTTATAAAACAATGTCATATTTACAGACAAGCATGAAACCTTCCATATGACAGAAGTCACAATTTCTAAATTCTAAGTGTACAAAGTGCATTTCTTTCCCCTTCTCTCTGCAGCAGAGGACAGGGGTCTCTCCTTCCCCTAACTCCTACAGCTACTAGACTATAGGGGCCCCTCTGGGTAAAGATTTGGAGACAAACCCCAGCTATGCTGGTTTACTGTGTTATTTCTAAATCCTCTCTAGAGGAGATTAGTCTGGAAAAATAGACACCAAAACAAGGTCAGAAGGGGTAACTCACTGTTTGCTTGGAAAATCTGGTCAATAGATTCCACTGGAAAAGGAAATCTGGGGTCAATGCCCTAGTGTTGTTAGTAGGAAGGAAAGATTATCTGCTGTTTAATAAACTAACTCTTGGTTCTGATACAACTGCCCTACCTCCCCATATTGTAAACCTTTCATATGCCCCTGAATCAGTGGATACTTGTAACCCCAGCGTCATTTACGAGGGTCCCAAAATTGAATCCAAATCTATTCAAGATGGGAAACTATGGTCTTCCATTGTCATGGTAAGGGAGCAGGTTGTTAGTAGGTGAGGCTATATGTGAATCTAAGCAGCTGTTTTGGCTAGGGGCTATGTCTGTGCCAAGTAGGGGTTTCAGACTGTGAATAAATATGTAGTGCCAAGAACAGCTACTGGAGACAATTCCTTATGAAGGCTGCAGAAACAGAGGCTCCTCTACTCTATTCCACCCATCATCTGGGGAGGCAGCCTGAGGGCCTGTGAGCACCCTATTGAAACAGAGCATGAAATACAGAACAAGACCAGGGGATGTATGGTTAACAGCCTGTATGTCCTACAAAGCTGTCAGGTTAGAATACAAAGCACTGAATGCAGGTGTGGGGGGAAAGGATGCTGTGCAGGGTACATGGCCATAGGGTTACACAATGCAGAAACCAAACACACAGATGCAAATGCACTGCAACCTACAGGAAGGGGAGCTGACATCCACAAAGAATGGGCTATGGAGCCCAAGGAAGACTCGCTTATAGGAGCTGCCCAACAGCCCAACCTCATTCTAGTGGTTCAGACACTGGACATTGCTCACTCTTTGTTTGAAAGGGCGGCTTCTTAAGGAAGGAAAAAGTGCAGGAAGGGTAAAGTCCAGACCCCAGTATGGCCAGAATGGTTTTCCCCACCAGGTGTAGCTTTCTCTGCTACTCAGAAGAGCAAATTTCTGGGAGAAAGCTTCACCTATGATCAAGTCATAGGCTTATTCTCAGAAGAGTCACCCTTCTCTTGAAATTTCCTCTCAAGATGACCCCTAGAGGCAAAAGCCTGCGTTCAACTGCCTATTCTAGGCATCTGCCCCATTTGGAGACTGGCCAGGGTCACGATCAGGCACCAGTATGAATGTTATTTGCTCAATGAATCTTAAAGGGTCCCCTGGTCCAGGGAGGGTGGTCATGGTCACTGCTGTACTGATGTCCCATTACTACAGCTTCATCCTTTTCCCAATCCCAATACTTTGCTGACTGTCTCATACAGGTGCACATTTCAACATGCTTTGAGACTGGAGTTGTTCAAACAGATGCCTCCTTGATGCCTTGGGGAGCACCCTGTTATGCAGACAGGAGAATTGGCCTGTTTTGGGGCGACAGACAATTCACTGCCTGCCATTTAATAGGAAGAGTGAATATTTCTTCTGACCTGCAGATGCTGCTCCCTGTAATTAGGCAGCAAATGGACCAGTGCATGAGACAAATGGGAAGGAAAGATACACCTGGGAGTGAATGGAAAACTCTTCCCCTTTCCAATCTGGGCAGATTCCAGGTTTGGCTGAGAAGAGACAGGTTTAGGTCCCAGGGCTTCTGTATGCCAATGAGCCAAAATGTACTCAAGCACAAGTGATGCAATATCTCTGTGTGGCAGCCACCAGAATTACACATTCACACAGACACTCCACATTTTCAGCTGTTGGTCAAAAGCTCTGATCCCTCTGGAAGCAGCACCCCTCCACTGCTGTGGCGAACACTTCAGCACCCCAACTCTTCTTCCCTTGTGATTCTCCCATCTCTGGCTGCAGGAAAAAAAAATCATTTAAGTATCAGTCCTCTTTGCAGAACTCAAGCTAGAACAGAACACAGTCAGCTTCTCTCCAACAGCAGTGTCAGAAGCATTTCAAGTGGAGTATGAGGAACAGCATCTTGCCCCCACAAAGATGTGCTGCTCTCCCTCCCAGCCTGCAACTTTTGGAGCAGATTGGAACCAGGCTGTGAAGTCTGATTATGTGGGACAGCTGGTTCCTGTGAGAAGGGAGCAAAACCCTGCAGAACAGGTTCATAAGTTAAAAGCAGTCTGTGTTTGCTAAATTAACAATACTGCTGCCCTCTGCTGGCCAGCTAAACTAGAACCTTGCCAAGCAATATAGCAACATGAATATAAGACAGGAGACACACTAGAAGTTACTTGGTAGTATTGTGGGGCCATCAGACCACAGTAAGACAGTTTTAGATTTAAACTGACAGCATTTAAAGTTGGGCACCACCAACTGTCAAGAAACGACTGAGGATGGCCACAGCCCTACAATTATCCCAGAGCAAGATCATGGGGCTACTCACGTTCACAAGTTCTTGCTGGGGATCTCTGAAATGTGCAGACCCGTCACTTTGGCTCGTTTGTACAGCTCTTCAGTGCACAGCTCCTCCACTCCCTCATGTTTACGCTTTGGAGAGGTCTGGCCACAATGCAACAGCCTCTGCACTACAAGAGGGAGAGGAGAGTCACTAACATTTCCTCTGGCCTTGTGGCTTCTCACATTTACTGCTTTAGACATCTACGTGCCGAGACAGCAGGGGAAAAGGAGAGCCTACAATGCCAAAGCAACGGGAAGTGCAGCCACAACCTCCCCCCACTTTTTTTTTTTTTTTTTTTTTTTGGACACCAATGTTTAACAGACAGGATACTGAATCTCAGCAGCTCCAGCCCAGGACAATCACCAGAGTCTTCCTGCTCTAGTAAAGGGCTAGTTTTATAGAAAAATTATTTCCATCTCCCCACCCCTCCATGTCCTGTGTGTCTAGACAGGTTCCATGGAACTGTAGTACATGATGCCAGAAAGAATCGCTGACTACATTTCTGTGGGCCTTTTAAGAAGAGCTCTCTTGGGAATTCCCAGCAAGTCTAAATGAAAGTGAATAAGATCTATACTGGGGCAGGCAAAATACAGCCCGTGGGCTGGATCCGGCCCATCTAACATTTCTGTCTGGCCTCCTCTGCCCCCTCGCGATCTGAGTCCAGGCCTCAAAGTCCCGTGGCGCAGCGGGGCGGTCAGGCACGCTGCCTGTCTGCTGTGCCCCCACACCGCTCCCGGAAGCGGCCAGCTGCTGCTGACATCTCTGCGCACCCCTGGTGGAGGTGGCTCCGCGCACTGCCCCTGACCCAACACTGTCCTCACAACTCCCATTGGCCGGAAGCCAGCCAATGGGAGCTGCGGAGGCGGTGCTTGCGGGCAGAGGCAGCGCACGGAGACCCGCTGCCTCCCTCCCCGCAAGGAGTGCGCAGAGACATGCCAGAAGCAGCTGGCCGCAGCCGCTTCCGCGAGCAGCATGGGGGCCATGACATACAGGCAGCCTGCTTGAGCACCCTGCTGCATTGCCGGCCAGGAGCCGCCTGTGGCAAGCACCTCCTGGCCAGTGCCTGCACCTCACACCCCCTCCTGCACCCCAACACTCTGCACCAGCCCAGAGCTCCCACCTGCACCCAAAGTCCCTCCCAGGTCCCCTTACCCCCTCCATTAATATAGTAGAAATGTGCGGCTTGTGACAACTTACCAAAAATCGTGGAGTGGCCCCCCCGCGAAAATTGCCCAACCCTGATCTACACCATTCTACCCCCCACATACCTGTTCCTTGCTGAAGTAAGCTTCCAGTTATGGGCTCCAAGTGCCCATTAACTTGTCTAGGTAATTTACCAACAACTCCTGCTCACCTGTACTGGTGCTGCTGCCCTGGCCTGACATTGGGTCTGTGACTGGAATACTGAGATCTTCCACACAGGAAGGGACGGAGGCCAACAAACCTGGGAAGAGAACGATCACTGAGACTTCCACTGAGGAATAGGCTCTTGCTTTTCATGGGGAGCTCAGAACGCCCTGGGTGCAAACACCTAGTGGTGTATGTGTTGATGAAAGACAAGCTGGGTTTAAAGCTCAGTTGGTACAGTGCTTGCTGGGGACCCAGGTCCTGGCCCCCACGATCCCTTCTCATTGGGATCTTATGCATGGGCTTTAGGAGCGAAGCACAGGGTTTCTGGTCCCCAGTAGGCTCCTTTCCCAATTTCAGTTACCTGAGAGCTACTGCCAACCTCCACAGCTTGCCATACTGAGGTGCTCATGGTCTGCATTCCCAGGGAATGCATGTATCTTTAGAGAAACTTTTGGCAGAAGCCACTTCCTCCTGCAAAGGGCTGGTCAGGCGCACAGCTGCCATTTGCTGTATTGTGAATCCCCCTCCCATCCCAACCATCTTATCTCCTTCAGCTGATACAGGGTTAAAGTGCACAATGAAGCAAGTGTCTCACAGTGTCTCGTACTTACAGAGGCCCCTGTAGCGTGACAGCTGCTGGTAGATCTGTTTCATGCGTTCAATGTTTAGCCGGCTGGTCTCTGCATGGTTCACCATGGGTTTGGGATAGTCCACCCCAATGATGCACTTGGCTGCCTTCTGCACTGACTCAGGGGCATTCCATGGCTCATAGATGTACCGTGAGGGGAAGCCCTTTAACTTGGGCAAATACCGCCTGCAGCATATATAAAGAGAGGACATCTTATTCAGCGTACAGCCACAAAGAGTTCACAAGTATGGGATAAGCAACAAGTCAGCCACCCAGGCAGGCAGATTGTGCAGCTGTGTGTCACTGGCATGCTAGGAGGTATGTGGGAAGCACCCACCCATATTACTCACCTAACATAGTCACCACTGGGATCTGTGCGGCGCCCAAAACCCACAGGGCAGTAGCAGTGGAAGAACTGCTGGAAAAAAGCACTGCACGAAAGCCACATCCAGCTGCCGGCGTTCACGCTGAAATCTGCATCCAGCAATAGCTCATCAAACACCTGCAGCAATCAGAGGGAAAGATGGTGAGGGAACCAACCTCCAAGGGAAAGACCCAGTAGCAGGGAACACTAGAAGATAGCCTCAGATACTAAGTAACAGGTTGTCAGGAAACCGATCTTGGTAACTGGAACAGGAGCAGTAATGCAGACACTGGACCATGCTTCCTTACATCTCAATCATTTCCAATGAGCAGCCCTGTCTGGTCAGGTTTTCAAACACTACCAGTTAGCTCCTGCTGCTTTGGACTCTGCTGTACAGTTCTACTGCAAGATTTGGACACCAACCCTAAACTTGGAAGTGTAATGTAAGTATGCAGAATAGAGCAGTTCTGTGCAGCAGAACAATCAAAAGTGAATAAGGGTTTTTGCTTCTAGGCCTCACATTATCCATTCCCCACTCTGAGTGGAAGCAGGAGATTAGTAATAACCCACTGAATTCCTGTCCAATTTGGTTTCTAGGAGTTGTGTATTCCAATTTCAACCGTCTATCAGAGTTTCAGCCCCTCAGGGCAGGGATGCCTCTGCCTCCACTTGGGCTGGGGACACTTTTTAACAACAGCCCATATTAACCAATGGGTCCCATTTACATTTACTTAGGTAACTGCAGACTATCCCATCATCGCTTTTAGGACTTAATTGAACTAGGCAGAAAAAGCTAGGCTCGTGACCGAAGCAAAGCCAGCTAGATCATCCTCTCTTCCACATTACTCCATGATTGCTAGGACAGTACTGCCATCCCAGCAGAATGTGCCAACAGGATTTTGCGCTCCCCATGCTCTGTTGCCTAATTCTGGAAATGCCCGACTTACCCTGACTCCAGACTCCCAGCTGATCCAGAGGTCACCCCTGGTCAGGAAGCAGGCCACAGCATGCCTGGCCAGGTGGTGGATCCAGCCTTCTTGTTTCAGTTGGGTCATGATAGCATCAATCCAAGGGAAGCCTGTCTTGCCCTCTGCCCATTTTGCCAAGGCTTCAGGATTCCTGTCCCAGGGGATCTGGATGCAGATTGGGTTCCCCTCCATACGGTCAAATTTGGGATTGTTGGTGGCTGCCGTATAGAAAAATTCCCGCCAGAGAAGCTGCCCATATAGTGAGAGTGGTGGTGTATTGTTACGCTTCACCTGTAGAAGAGGAGAAGCAGGGGCAAAGAGATATTACCCTTTCCCAGCTCCTGCACCTGGGCAGCTCAGCTCAACCCTCCCTCTGCCCCATCACTACAGGTAATTCCCACTCAGGGACCAAGACTGCTAGCAACATTTGGAGCTGTGGAGCTATCCTCTGAACAGTCCTTTACCAGAAACCAGACTCACTGGGGCAGAAAGCACCTGTCTTTAATGGAGTCTGATATACTGAAGGAACTGATCTGTCCAGAACAAGAGGACAAGCACTAGAGCCAACCTAGAGCTAATGATTATGAGGGCTCAGGCTTGAGAATCCAGATAGCTACTTTTAAAATCTACTAATTATGTCTACAAGAGTCTCACCATTTTTGTAAGTTTCCCCCAGGAGGGGCAACTATATTTAAAGAGCTGAGAACTGCTTCATAGCCAGAAGAGCGAGAGGCAGGGGGAAGGAGGGAATGTCAACCTACAGCTTCTTGAGTCAGAAATAATGGAATATGACAGAACTGCAAGAGAATTAACACAACCCCCATCCTCAGAACCAGCCTGGTCCCTGGCTTGCCTGCTCTGGAGGAATCCCCCACCCTCTCATCCCCCTTTTCTCACCTTTTTATACAGCTCCCAGAGGCGGTAGTAGAACAAGCGGCAGGACAAGCAGCCGAAGCGCAGGTAGGGACTGAGCCCAGTGGGGCTCGCCAGCAGCGAGTTAGCGTTCATCCTTGGCCTTTCATAGTTTGCAACCCAAGCCTAGGAGCATTTGGGAAAGAGAATGGGTTTCAGAAATGCAGTAGTTCAAGGAGTAGGCTGCTGGGCAGGGACACAACTATCTCCAGTAGGTTCATTAAAGCCCCTTACATTTCTCTGACAGTATCCCTACTGAACTGGCTTCATCCATTTGTTGGAGATGTTTCAAGCTGGATATTCCAGCACTCCCACAGCAGTGAGAGGCAAACAAATCACTTCCTATTTAAAGGAAATTTGATCTAGTCATGCTGATCTGGGAGGGGGCTATTAGCTCTTGTCCGCAGCGTAGGTCTGGGCCTAGGACCTCCCAAAGGTACATCCTAGTACTTCAGGTACACTGCTACCTCAATATAATGGGACACGATATAACACGAATTCGGATATAACGCAGTAAAGCAGTGCTCCGGAGGGGCGGGGCTGCACACTCCGGTGAATCAAAGCAAGTTCAATATAACACGGTTTCACCTATAACGCGGTAAGATTTTTTTGGCTCCCGAGGACAGCGTTATATCGAGGTAGAGGTGTACATCCAACTCTGAGCTGCATGACGAGAGATCTTAACTGTCTCCCTGACATATGCAGCAGGTGACTCCAGGAGGAAAGACTACCATTGAACATGGCAGCCTGCAATTACATAAAGCTGAGATTCAGCACTACCTGCAGAATATTACACTGAAGTTTTATTTCCCCCCAATGCAGCATGCAAGTTGTGAACTGCACAACTACCATCAAGAAAGGTTAGCATTAGAGACACAACTCAGTCATTTCTGTCTGAGTAAATTTATCTTGTATTGTTACTAGTAACACCTAAAACTCCTGTTCTTATTGTTATTTACTTTGTGTGAAACAATAAAGAGAACAGGGTCAACAGAAAGTGTCTAGATATGTTATACCTTGAGCCACACATTGTAATGGCATATGTCGTATTAACAGTCCTCACATGCCCTGCCTGGGAAAAGCCTGGCTGTTTGCACTTGTCCTGTTAATGCACCTGCACAAATGTCTCCAAGTGAAGATTAAAAAGGAGGTGGAAGGCAGTCTGCAGCCAGCACTGAACCTTGGTAGAAGGCTCTCTTCATCTATGCTACCCCAGAGAGAATGGGGCTCAACACCCTTCATGCTCCAAGGGCACTGCAACACCAGGATTGCTTGGTGAGTGCATTCCACCCCTAAGTGCATGTACATCAATGAACTTCCACTTCAGTTTGGGTCCTTTGAAGCCTGGAAGTGGGGAGGGCACATTCCCTATGCCCCACACAGCCTGGGTCCTACAGAGGCATTCCCTTCACCACAGAGCTGTGTCTGCTGCTACAAGCAACAGAAACAAGGGTGACAACCACCGTTAATATTTCTTAGCCAGAGGCCTCAGCATGCAGAAAGTACCATTTTCTGAGTTAAAGTGGGTTGGTTACCTTTCTTTCCAAATGCTTATCCAGCCGGGCCAAGGCCTCCGTCTCCCCTCCTTTCCAAACTGCTGGGGCAAGACCATCCGTGGGGAAACCTGAGAGGAATAAACAGGGTGGTAAGGCTGGAAGCCAACACTGTACAAAGGGCCCAGCAGGGCTCCAGCAGCAACAGTATCAGACTTGAAAAAGACGGCTCTTGAGTTCTCTGAATATTTGGTTTATTGTTACTGCTCTGATCCTTCTACAGCAAAGCAAGCATGACTGCTCTGACACCCCAGTACGAAGCCTGTCCCCAAATTAAGTTCTCCAGTCAGCATTCTTGGGGCACCCCACCATCATTCATACACAAACCCTATCAATGCAGAGTGGTCATCTACTGCATCCTCTATCAGGCTCAGTATCAATGATAATCAGAACAGTCAGCAGGGGGCATGTTGTATTAATTCAGATGGATTATATGGGTCCAAACAGTTGAAGGTATTGACAATCAATTAGAAAAGCTAAGGCATAAAATGAGTTAAATCTAGCAAGGGTCATAAAATGCAACAAAATGAAGTTCTTTAAATGCAGTAAGAGCAAGAGATAGACCAAGCGTAGGTCCTCTACTTAGCAGGGAAGGAGAGCAAACAACTGATGACATCAAGAAAGCTGAAACGTTTAATGCCTATTTTGTTTCAGTCTTCACTAAAAAGGATTAATGGTGAACAGATAACTCAACACAATTAATATTAACAAGGGGAAAGAAACTGTCATAACTATAAAGGGAAGGGTAACAGCTCTCCTGTGTACAGTACTATAAAATCCCTCCTGGCCAGAGACTCCAAAATCCTTTTACCTGTAAAGGGTTAAGAAGCTCAGGTAACCTGGCTGACACCTGACCAAAAGGACCAATAAGGGGACAAGATACTTTCAAATCTTGGGGGGGGGGCCGGAAGGCTTTTGTTTGTGCTCTTTGTTTTGGGGTTGTTCGCTCTTGGGACTAAGAGGGACCAGACATCAATCCAGGCTCTCCAAATCTTTCTGAACAAGTCTTTCATATTTCAAACTTTTAAGTAAACAGCCAGGCAAGGCGTGTTAGTTTATCTTTGTTTTCTCAACTTGTAAATGTACCTTTTGCTAGAGTGTTTATCTCTGTTTGCTGTACTTTGAACCTAAGGCTAGAGGGGGGTCCTCTGAGCTCTAAGTTTGATTACCCTGTAAAGTTATTTTCCATCCTGATTTTACAGAGATGATTTTTACCTTTTTCTTTAATTAAAAGCCTTCTTTTTAAGAACCTGATTGATTTTTCCTTGTTTTTAGATCCAAGGGGGTTGGATCTTGATCCACCAGGAGTTGGTGGGAGGAAGGAGGGGGAATGGTTAATTTCTCCATGTTTTAAGATCCAAGGGGTTTGGATCTGTATTCACCAGGGAATTGGTGAAGAGTCTCTCAAGGCTACCCAGGGAAGGGAATTAGCTTTGGGAGTGGTGGCAGCGGACCAGATCTAAGCTAGTAGTTAAGCTTAGAAGTTTTCATGCAGGCCCCCACATTTGTACCCTAAAGTTCAAAGTGGGGAAGCAGCCTTGACAGAAACATAAGCCAGAATAGAGAAGAACAGGTTAAAGAATACTGAGATAAGTTAGATATATTCAAGTTGGCAGGACCTGATGAAATTCATCTTGGTACTTAAGGAACTAGCTGAAGCAATCTCAGAACCATTATCAAATATCTTTGAGAACTCCTGCAGGACGGGTGAGGTCCCAGAAGACTGGAGAAGGGCAAACATAGTTACCTGTCTTTAAAAAGAGGACCTGGGGAATTATAAATCAGTCAGCCTAACTTTGTTACGTGGAAAGATACTGAAACAAATTATTAAACAATCAATTTGTAAGCACCTGGAGGATAACACCATTATAAAGGAATAGGTAGCATGAAGTTGTCAAGAACAAATCATGCCAAACCAACCTAATTTCCTTCTTAAACAAGGTTACTTGCTTAGTGGATAGCGGGGAAGCAGTGGATGTGATGTGTCTTATTTTTGTAAGACTTTTGACAGTCCCAAAAGATATTCTCATAAGCAAAGTAAGGAAATATGGTTTAGATGAAATTACTATCAGGTGGGTTCACAGCTGGTTGAAAGACCATACTCAAAGAGCAGTTATCAATGGTTCACTGTCAAACTGCGAGAGCATATCTAGTGGGATCCCACTGCAGTCCGTCACTATTCAATATTTTCATTAATGACTTAGATAATGGAGTGGAGAGTATGCTTATAAAATCTGCAGACAACACCAAGCTGGGAAGGGTTGCAAGCACTTTGGAAGACAGGATGAGAATTCACAGCGACCTTTTTTGAGAATTGGCCTGAAATCAACAAAATGACATTCAATAAAGACAAGTGCAAAGTACTTCACTTGGGAAGGAAAAAAATCAAATGCACAACTATAAACTGGAAAATAATTGGCTAGGTGGTGGTACTGCTGAAAGGAACCTGGGATTACAGTGGATCACAAACTGAATATGAGTCAATGTGATGCTGCCGTGAAAAAGTCTAACATCATTGTGGGGTGTAGTAACAGAAGTGCTATATGCAAGACACAGGAAGTAACTTTCCTGCTCTATTTGGCACTGGTTAGGCCTCAGCTGCAGTACCGTGTCCAATTCTGGGTGCCACACTTTAGGAAAGATGTGGACAAATTGGAAAGACTCCAGAGGAGAGTGACAAAAATGATAAGAGATTCAGAAAACCTGATCTATGAGAAAAGGTTAAGAAACTGGGTACTTTCAGCCTTGAGAAAAGGAGACTGAATAGGGACCAGATAACAGTCCTGTTAAGGGCTGTTATAAAAGAGGACCGTTATCAATTACTCTTCATGTCCACTGAAGGCAGGACAAATAGTAATGGGCTTAATCTGCAGCAAGGGAGATTTAGGTTAGACATTAGGAAAAACTTTCTAACTATAAGGGTAATTAAGCTCTGGACTAGGCTTCCAAGGGGGTTGTGGAATCCTTATCATTGGATGTTTTTAAGAACAGGTTGGACAAACACCTGTCAGGGATAGTCTAGCTTTACTTAGTCCTGCCACAGCAGAGGGCTGGACTTGACTTCTCCAAGTCCCTTCCAGCCCTACTGTTCTATGATTTCATAACCCAGTCACTCTCCAACATTAAATAATTTTAAACAAGTTTAGCGAGTTGTTGTACAGAAACCTCACCCTGCTTAGCACCATGGCAAACACTATAGAAATCCCTCTAACCGTTTATTAAAGATACAGGGGGGAAAAGGAAAAAACAGTTCAAGCATTTGAAATGTAAGTATCGAGTAAGGATTTCATTTTAACAACATCCCTTGTTCACTTGAGCTGGGTGATTTTCCTTTTAAAAACTCTCCTTGTTTGATAGTGTTTTAGATTGTACTAAAGATGGTAATAACTGCCCTTTTGGGGAGATGGACCAGAGCTGCTGCTGTTAAAGTCAGATCCTGTTTTCTAGAAGACTAAACACAAACTTACACAAAATAAGAGAGAAAAGGACAAGGATAGAAAATGCAGCTTCTATATCTCACGCTGACTCTTACTTGCACCCTCACTGCTGGAAAAAACACAAGACATGGCACATAGTCTTATCAGCCACTCCAAGACCTGGCAAAGTTGTACCAGCACTAGGCTGTTTAAGACATTGCATTTAACTGGCTCTTTCTGGTCACAGGCTTACAGAAGCATTGCAAAATAGAGTCTTCGCTGGCTAAGCCAGACTCTTGTAAGAGAAAAGGAAGGAGAGAGATAAGAAAGAGAAGAAAAGATAGAGAAGGAAAAGGACAGATGGGGGAAGCAGGTGGAGACAAAGTCTCACATCCCAGCTGGTGTTTGGGATTCAGCTGGAACTGGTGGAAGTGGCTGTGTCATCTGGGTCCCTCCCTCATCAGGACATCTCTCAGGATCACGATGCCTGGGTGGGAGTAGCAGCCATGATGATGAAACACGCTCCAGTAGCCAATTTTCCTTCCCAAAGTCTCATTCTTTAGGAACCCAAAAGGGAGCGATGGGTGGAACACCCCACCCCCTCATTGTTTAGTCCACCAGTTAGGCCCAATAGCCAATATACCAATTTTGGATTATTAGTTTTCCGGTTCCACACTTTTCTTGTATACCGAGCATGATCTTAGCACAGTTCTTGAGTTGTATCAGTAGGCCTTTTTGTTTGACTAATTCAGTCTGGCTCGCTTTTGCACCTTTTCCGACCAACATTTATTGTTATATGTTAGTGTGACATCTTATGAACTTACACTTTTTACAGTTGAGCTCACAATTAGGGTAAACCTGGAGGCCCAATTATCACAACAGGCACCTCTGCCCTATCAGATTTGCTAGTCTATGAAATATCTTCCAGTCAACCCAGAAATATCTCATCACACAGTCTGCAAGTCAAGGGAGACTCTTAGTTTCTCAATCTGGTACTAGTGAAGATACTGGACTAAACAGCACTGAGCACCTACATCATATTAATCCCCAGAACATGTACAATATGGGCAGCAGCAATGCAGTTTTCCTATACAGCTCCCTACTTACAAAACGATAGGGGAGTTCAGATACATTCATTTTGATCTGAGACTATCCTCAAGAGCCAAATCCCCCATTATTTTCATACATAAGGGCTTCTGCTGAGTCCTACCAACTTTTCACACAGTCCTCCCCCCTTCCCAGCCCCTCAATGTCCCACAGTACCCAGATACTACTGGAAAGCTGTCAGCTGCACTGTTATCTCCATATGAACAATACTCCAAATGCAAGCAATAACCTTGCCCTTTGCTTACATTTAGCTTCAGATCCTTGATCTGGGGTTGGGATTTGTGCATCACCCTCTGTCTTGAACATTTTTTGATGCCGTAGAGCTATCAGCAGCTGATGAGACTGAAGCTGACAAGCATGGAACTGTGACACTGGCAGACCAGGGGCCAGCTCATGCCAAGGTCACTAAGCATCACTGAACACCGACAAATTCATAGCTAGAAACCAGCCTGGCTTATCTGAGCATTAGCATTGTTTAAATAGATGTTAAGTTCATAAGAATGTGTTTAGTGGTTAGATTTGATGAAATGTTTGTAGGATGTTGCATGTACTGATCTGACTTACAACATCTGTATCCCTTGGTATAAAGTTATATTGAGTATTTTCATTGTAAACCTCTAACTGTGTAACTCACGAAACAGGAAAGAAGCATTAATTATTGTAAAGTGCTGGGCCTGCACACAAGGCGGCCCATTGAAACCAAATGAGCCATTTTGAAACATCAAAGGACAAAGACTTTATTGATTGCCCCCCGCAACCTATAAGAGGAGATGGCACAAACAGGGAATACAAATCCCTGACCAGAAATAACTGAATCATTATGCTGCTTGGAATTTGGACAGGGAAATATTTCTAAGCATAAGCAAGGGATTCCCAAGCTGCTAGGCTTGGGTTAGCTTTAGAGGACATAGAAAGCTTGCATATCAGAGCATTTTCTATCACCTTTTGGAATCTAAGACTAATTCAGTGATACTCCGACCTCAGTGGTTCAGGAGCCAAATTACCGATTAACATTACGCAAAAGAGCCACAGTAGTGGGAATTCATTGTTTCATGTACTATATAAATAATTCTTGGTCTCATGAATGACCAAGTATTATTTGATCAACTACAATTGATTAACATAATAAAAGCATCCTGATTGGTTAATAATTAAATCAGTGTTTTAATAACATGTGCTCTAAAGAGCCACTTGCAACTCCTGAGCCTCAGTCTCACTGCTGGAACGTCTGTGTCTGTGTCTGTGTCACGAATATTCCTTTTTCTTAGTTAATAACTTATAGGATTGGCTACAAGTGTTGTCTTTACTGTGAGATTTAAGATGTAATTGACCCGAGATAAGCAACTGGACCGTTGGGCCTGGGAGTAACTTGAGTACTGTTGTGATTTTTTGGTGTAAAGGATCATCTATCACAAAGGCAAGTTTGCCTGGGTGGCAGGATAGACAGTACCCAAGAGGACTGTCTGACTTCATGGTTAAGTCGCTATAATGCTTGAGGAGATATCACTTGTTGCTTGGTTGGTGAAATTTAAGTACAGAACTCTCAACCAATTTGGGTGAGTGTCCTGCTTCTTGACAGTCTGTCATGAGGTTGGCACTCATGCTTGCGAACTATTCCAGACAGTCTGACAGGAACTATTCATCCATATTTTCTCCCTCCCCTCTCTACCATCAATTTCTTTCCTCCAAATCAAATCCAAGCACTTACACAGCTTGAAAGCAAACACTGATTCCCTCGACACCAATGGGTACTTAAGGGTGGATGGTAGCAGTTTTAACAAAAACTTTTGTCTGAGTTTCCAAATTAATCCTTTTTAGTCACAGTAAAGCAAGTGTGATAGTCTCAGCTTAGCATGATTAATATTCCCAGATCTGTCACAAGCAGCCTGTCAGGGACCAGAATAGCAGAGGATGCAGTGGGTCAGGACTGAGCAGCACTGTGAGGGCCTCGGGGCTGAAAAAGTGTGCAAAGGATGGCAGATCACACCTGAGAGGTATCAACAGAGATGTGGGAAGGAAGGAAAGGAGTTTGCACTAGAATCAAGCATAACACAGACAGATGGACAATCAGTGGCTCATTTTCCCAAATTCCATGGCTCATTCTGTGTGCTACTCCCAAGGCTGTAGCCTGCCCAGGTCAGATGAAAACAGTGAAACCATTTTGGAAGCATTCCTGCCAGCAGAAACATTCTTGTTTGGTTGGTAGTTAAGCCCCCTCAACCCTGGACACATACCCAGCTCCTCCAGAGATGGGACTCCATACGTGTCATCATGATTCTCCTGGATCTCAGACTTGCACTTCTCCATCTGCTGGCTTGTTATGCTGCTCACTGGCTTTTTGGGATGCTCCATGCGACTAATGATGGTCTGGAAACGCTTGTACGTGAGAGGTGGTTTGTGGCCATTCAGCTCGATTATTCTAGACACACAGGCCCAGGAGACAGAGTTAGAAAACAGCTTCATTCTCATGGAAGGCATGGGGAAGAACACTCAAGCACTAGCCCCCTTGGACTCAGGGACACTCTTTTCTCTGGATAGAGAAATCCCACCCTCCTCCATTTGGATCCGTCCCTTCAACTAGTTAAAGAAACTTCAGGCTAACCCCATTTCCAGGAAAAGACACCTCAGCCTGCACCAGTCCCCATGCCATGGTCTGCTCCCAGAAAAACCCAAGCCTGAGACAATCTGTGCCCCCTCCCCCCAAAGTGAGAAACCCAACCTACAACAGTCACCCTCTTTTCTATTGCTCCCCCAGATGACAAATCCTAGTTTACTTGTCCAACCACTCACTCTCTAGATCAGCAAAATGCAAGCTTCCATCATTTCATGTGCTCCCCACCCATTTTTGAGAAATCCCAGCCTGCATCCGACCCCCTCCCTGCACTAGAGAAATCCCAGCCTGTGCTTGTTCCTGTTTCCTCCACACTAAAAAAATCCCAGTCCATCTGTCACTCTCCCCTCCTCTACCCCCTCAGAGGAGAGAAATCCCAGTGTGCCTCACTCCTCTCCTGGGAGAAGAAAAATCCCCATCCCTCCCCCACTCCATACGATCGCAAGCAATACTGCCACATACTGAGTATACCATTTACTTTTTAGTGTTCAAACCAGGAGCACAGGCTGCTACCTTCTTAGGTGCTCACAACCTGCCCAAGTCTCTACTGGGGAATAAAATGTGATGCTTCCCAGAAAAGCTGTCTCTTGCCCCTGGGGAACAGAGCTAAAAAGAATTTGGAGAAGACTGCGTGGCAGAGCCTCCATGAGTAGAAACAAGGGCATTTTCCCTCAGCACTGTCTGGGCACAGTGCCAGGAGCAAAAGAGTTAACAGGAAAACAGGGAGAGCTCAGAGTGTCAGGTTTATATAAGGCTGAAACAGCCAAGCCAGCACTCCTGCAGGAGCACTAGCAATGGCTGCTACCCTCCCCATCCTGAGTCAACAACTTATGCAAGGAGTGAGCTGAGAGCCTAGTGTTTCAGAAGATGCCACGTGCCTCCCCCCCCCCCCCCCCCCCCCACCCATCAGCTGCACGTGTAGAAGGGAGGAGCTCCATGCTAGCCTGGAGCCTTCACAGAGCAGCTGGTCACATGTGATACTGTGTGACAGGTCTTCCCAGCTCTATACAGCAGCCAGAAGGCAGGAGGCTGCTCCCTAATAAATCTATCGTAGCTGCTGCTTGGATCTAGGTCATAAATGCCAGGATCTCTCGTGCATACTGGGGGAGGGACAGAGAGCCTTTTAAAAGGCAGAGCACGGTCATGTTAAAGAAAGATATTCAACTGACTCCCACCACATTCCTTCTTATTTCTTCACGTAGATAAGAAAGGTAAGATACAGGGTAGGAAACATGGAAAAGGAGGAAGCTTTTGCCGGTATATAGCAAAGTCACCCAAACAAGCCCTGTGCAGCTTGAAGGAAGTGGTTTGCTTCCCTGCACTCTTCAAAAAGTAATTCAGAAATTTCCGCCCTTATGAATACACCCTAATCCCCTACAGTCTTCCCTACTTTTTGCACTATGCCACTTTCCAGTGTGGCGTTCCAGGGGGCAAGAGGCAGGAGAGAAAGAAACCTGAGACCTTCATATCTGTCCCTCCAATATGTACTGAGACGCTTCTTACAACATCTACATCACTGATGTAATTGGAGCATGAGGCCTTGACAAGTACAGCAACTGCTCCTTCAACAGGTTTGTGCCAGAGTGTGACAATCTCATAGTGCTGTGCAAGTTTTCCCTCTTCTCCAACTCCTGCTCTACAGAGGCACCTCAGCCATGCCTTGCCACACTACACAGTCCTCTTCCATATATGTGCTGATGCACAAATGCACCTTAATCATGACAGTAGCAATCCTCTAGTCACAGGGTCTGCCTTGAACAGAAACTGCAATTTGGACCAAACTGTGGCTTTTGTGATGAGCCCTCCTCCTTTCACTAGAATAAAAACAAGGATGAAAACCTTCTGTGCCTTCTCATCTCCCAACCAATCAAGTTACTGGGGCAGGCTTAGGAACAGAAGCCTTCCTAAATGATGGGGCATGGATGTTATCTTGTATATATTTTTACAGCACCTAGAACAATGGCTGAGGCCTCCAGAGGCTATTAGTGTCTGGCAGTCCCTTCTCCATAGTGCTACTTTGCCTCAGGGAGGAGGGCAATCCAGGCATGAACAAGCACATTTATGAGAGTTCATTGAGTGGGTTACCACAGGCAGTTTGTGGTAGCCAATGCAAGGGCTTTCACAGATCTCTCTTTACAGCAGCAGATTCGAGGACTACAGCCTGCCCCATAGACTTTACCTTCTGAGTCAGTCAATCACCTGCAAAAGCCATTCTGCTGGGTTCACCACAGCCCCTTCTTCAGTGGCATCATTCCACTGGCTGGCTTGCACATAGGAACCCTTCTTGTGTATGATGGAAAAGGACATGTTCATGCATTTCCTATTTGTGAGCGTGTCCTCAGCCAACACTTGAGGATCATGCTGCTCAACTGGCAACACAGGTTTGGATAGGTTGGCAATCGGAGACTACTTGGGCAAATGAACCTGTCTACTGTTCAGTCTCCCCATGTCAGTTTATTCAACTACTGTGATACAAATACTGGATGAGCTCTCTAAGGTGTGGACTGTGCATTATTTGTATGTACAGTGCCTAGTACAATGGGATCCTAACTGGGTTTCTTCAGGGTCAGACAGGAACTGGAAAGTAACTGCAATGTACAGACAGCCAGTGTACAAAGGACAGACTATTCCACTTCTCCAGACAGCACCAGGGAAAACATTATATAAGAATATCAAAGGTTCAGAGGTGCCTTGATCAATCTGTAAGTACCTACATAGGAAGAAGATATCTGATACTAGAGGGCTTTAATCAAGCAGGCAGGCGTAACAAGCTCCAAAGGCTGAAAGCTCTAGTCAGAAAAATTCAAATTGGAATAAAATGCAATTTTGACATTGAGGGTTATAATATGTTGCCAAGGGATATGAAATTCTCCATCACTTGGTGTCCTCAAATCAAGATTATACCTTTTTAAAAAAAATATCTATTGTAGCTCAGCCACTTGTTATTGGCTTGATGCAGGAGCTGCCAGGTTAAATTTTATGGCTTGTGCTATAATAGGGGGTCAAACAAGATCATAATGTCCCCTAATAGATCACTTCATAGATTTTATTTTATTTTTTTAAGGCCAGGCCTGCCTGGCCTGGAATTAGGGAGAAACTCTCACAATGGCCATCAGCAAGTCTGGACTATGAAGGATTTAGATCCCAGGGAACAAAAAGCAGGGAGACCCAACTGGAGGAAGAAAATGACCTGCCATCAAACAGAAGGGAGCTGTCAGACAGCAATTGCGAGACAAAGATTTGGACCACACTGAGCCAACATCTAAGCTGTTATCTTTTCAATTTGAATTCAACAATCTGAGCATAGTTGACAGTCCCCAGTGAATGCTAATTCTTAAAATGGGTTACACCATTTATGCCGAACATGATTATTTTTCTATAATCAATTCCTGTTTCGCAAGTTTGTGCAGGCCATCCCAACGAAACGAAAAGCCTTCAATTTCTAAGTATTAACAGAAACATATCTGAAGGGTAACCTATCTCAGGCTTCTCAATCAGAAAGAGCACAATAAGGGGGCATCACAGGCAGGGCTGCAGAGAGCAGGACACACTAGAACTACTCAATGACCACAGAAGAGAACAGTTTAATAGGACTGAGGCAACATCTATCCCAACACTCTCATCACCATCAACACTTTGTGATGCTCTTGTCAAAGGCATGACTCAGTGAAATATAACCCCGACAACCCCCATCTGCGGTCACATGCAAATCATGCTTTAAATAGTTGCCAAATTATGTGGATCAGAGGATTGAAACCTTCCCCAGACTAGAAGTCTCCTACAGTCCCCTTCAGACAGCACAATATGAGCCCTGTCTAAGCAGTATAGCTGCCTCTCCTCGACCTCTTACCTATCCAGGTCATAGAGAGTGTGAGAATTCTCTATCACCACCTCCACGCCAGCTTCCTTGGCCAGTTTGACAATAGCTGCATCTCTCTCCTTCCCAAATGGTTCGGAGTCATACTCAAAGGTGAGACGGGTCACTCCCCATTCCTGTGAAGAACACAAAACAAAGTTTTCATTACAGATACCAGCCCTCTCAACAGCTAGCATGATCACTGAAGAGAATCACAAAGGTTCCTTAATGTCATGCCAATGAAGTCCTGGAGTCTTTTGCTTTACAGGAAACTAGGACACGATGAGAGAAACCATGGAGGGAGCCCTGTGGACAGATGTGGTAACAACAGACATGGAATAGAGTATCAGGGACGTATTCTGTTTTGTCACCACTATAAAAGGTCAGGGTAAGAATCTTAGTATTATACTAACTCATCCATGTTACTGAGCTCCAAGATTGCAGAACTTTAAGAACCTCATTCTTCCCTCCTCCCCCAATACATATTCTCCCTTTGTCTGCACTGCCCTCAGCTTGGCCAGTAAGACTGCAATGGCGTGGTTCATTTCCCAGTTCTCTGACACCACTCCAAGGCTGAAATATTAGGGCTACAAAGTGCAGGGGAAATTGTCAATGCAAACTGCTTAAAACTTATGTATTTATACAGAGAAACTGTCAAGAAGTTTAAGCCAAAAATGTAGGTTCTGAAGTAAAGTTTTCCAACATCCCTTTAAGGCCACCACACAAGAGAACTTCTGTCCAACCCTGGAAGCCAGAAGTGAGGAAGAGAGGAACCCAGAATAAGGAATGACTAAGGAGGACATGAGTATGGCTGTCAACTTTGTATTTCAAAAAATACAGGACAGACCTCAGACATCCCCTCTGGGGGCAAGCCCCTTCTCCTCTACCCTCCTTCCTGGAGATTCTTAACCTTTGGGAGCTGCAGGTGCTAGGCCGGGCAGCAGCTCCTGTTCAGGCACCAGGAGCTGAGTTGGAGGTGAAGTTGCTGATCTCTGCCAGCTGCAGCACCACGTCACCAGCGGTGGGGCCGGAAAGAATGGGTGTGGACTGGAGGAAGGCAGCATTTGAAGGAGACTTTGCTACAATCATCAGGGGTGCCATTTCAGATTTCAATGGAAGGGGCAACTTTCAGTGGTGGTCCAAGGATCGAAATGCAGTCGGCTCAAATTTGAGTGGCATTGTGACAGTGTGTGCCAGGTTACAATGCCACTCAAATTTGTCCCAGTTGCCTCTCAGTCAGCAATGTCACTTAAATTTGGCCTGGCCCCCACTCTGTCGGCATGACTAGTCAAGTTGCCAACCAGCAGCACTTTGCAAAGTGATTTTGTACTGATTTAGTAAGGGACAGGAGCATTTTTACTTAAATAAGGGACGTCCCTTATAATACAGGACTGTTAGCAACTCTTCACTAGAGGAAGGAGAAATCAAAACTAGAGGGACTGATTTCTTCCCCAGAATGGTAAAGGAAGATGCAGGAATCCAGACTTGGGGCATTCATCCTCCAAATAGTGTACTGCTTTTGCCTTATCCAAGCTATGAACCTGGCAAGATATCAGACAATACACCTCTAGAACACTTTATAGACTACGAGGACTTGGTTCTGAAACGCATAGGCCTGAGAAGAAGAGCTGCACTGTCTCTTTCAGCCCTTTGCAGAACATGATTTCCTCTCTGAATTCATGGCCTAATTTTCTCAGCAAATGAATGCTATGAGAGGAGAGTTAATGGTTTCCACAGTGACACTCCTGAACTCACTGTCAAACAGAGCTAACCACATCTGTGGGCTGCGGAAAACACTCTGCTGAGCTTAGCCAGAGAGCCATGGGGGGGGGGGGGGCTGGGCTTTAAAAAGTCACAAATAGTAGGCAACACAATTAACATGGGGTCACATTTTCCAATTGAAACAGCATGGGACACCCTCTCCCCACTACCCTGAGGCCTAGTCTCCTCTGAATAGTTGTGCAGGACGCTTTGCCTTTTCCTGAACAGGAGCTGAGGGTTTAGCACAGCCAGCAACACAAGCAAAATGCAACAGTAGAAGTTTTGTAAGTTTGCATAAATTACACAGACACAATGATGCTGGGGTGGAGGGGGCAGTATTGGGAAAGTTCATAGCAGGACACAACTCCCCACTTGTCTCCCATGTTTCCCGCTCCCCCTGGAAACTCAATTCTAAAGTCAGTCCTCTCATCAAAAAGGAGGTAAAGCTGGTTTTCAGGGATAACATTATAAAAAACAGTCTTAGATATGAAATGGGGCAGAGCATTTCGAAGTCAATATCCACCCCTTCCAGCCTCACATTGCCTGGCTATAATTTGCCTTTCCCCAAACTAGGAAGTACAGCATTAACAAAACCTACTACCCAAGTGTTTAGATGCCTTTCAAAGCCAGTCCTCTCCCATATTGGAATTTGATTGGTCATATTAGTTTTAATTATATGATAGATTAACAAGGGACAACGCCACTCGGTCTCACAGAAAATAAAGGTTTGGTTTAAAAGAACATGTATGCATAGGGAAGGAGGGAACACATTTTATCATGACAAAAAGAGTTAAAAACCCCTCAAAATTCTGATATTTCTTTATAGTGCGGGAAAGCTGAAAACAAAGGCATCGGGCTAGTAAAAGGCAACAAAACAAATGACTAGAAACCAAGAAACTGTCTGATAAATTTCAAAATATACAAAGAGTAAGTTAGAAGTTTCAAATGCAGTTTTCATCCTCCATATTATGGCAAGGAAGCATTTAGGATTTAGTATTTCTATAAAAAAAAGTTACCACAAGCCATTTTGCTGCCTTGAATACCTGGCAGGACTATTTCCCCCAAAACACTGAACTCCCGAAGACAATTCAAGTACAAGCAATCAACCAGTATCTTTGGTGTCTGAATATGGTACAGACTGAGGTCAAATCCACACGCATACAAAAATAAACTAGAGATCATAACACTCTACAGCACACAAGCACCCGGGGGGGGGGGGGGGGGCTGGCGGCTCTTAATGAACTGTGACCACAGGGTTTGGTTCAGTGCAGAAGGTCAGACTCCAAATGACTGCTTAGAGAAAGAGGGGATTTTTTTTTTTTTATAAAGATACCTTGTGATAGTGAAAAAGCAGCAGAGCAAGCTGCATATGCCATCTGCCATTGAAACAAAATATCCTTTGTAGCCTAATTCTCCACAAGTGCATCTCTACCAGCAGTAGCCATACTTGAAGCTGTAGTGTAGACCCCGCTGTTGCACTACTATTGTGCTACCTAGCCCTGCTCTGAATAGCATTAGACAACATGGCGTGAACACCTGAGCCCTGTTTATACTGCTTCCTTGGTTGCTACAGCTGCTGGAGCTGCATGCTTGAAATAAATTACAGCTATGAAGTCTGCTATTGCAGACAAGGCTCAAAAGCATGCTCTGCAAGCTTCAACTTCCCTCTTTCTAAAGCTACTGCATCCTCCTTCCTACCGCAGGAGTTGTCATTTGCACTATTTATAAATAACGACAGGCATTCACCCCCATGCTCTGCTTACCCTTACAAACCACTAGACAATCTCTAATTCTAAGACCATCTAAGAACACCCCTCAAAGAAACCGAATGTAATTGTATGTCCCTCTATTATATATCAGGTCAGTGCTGCACTGTTTGGGACACTAGCTCTGCAGAGGAAGATCTAAATACCCCCCAAAATGCGTAAGCTCAAGTTTAAAAAGCTTCACAAACATTTCTATTCCTATTCCGATGCTTAAAATACCTGACACTGTCTATTAAACAAACCCAATTACTTAGGAACCATGGGCTACAGTGAAGTTTAGGCTGATCCTCAGTGGGCAAGTCAATTACAACTACTGTTCTTTAAATGTAGAATATAAAGCAGCTGGCTGAGTTCCATGAAACAAGTTAGTAGGTTTCCTTTATTTTAAATAATCCTGGGATTATATTTAGTCCTTAACTAAAATAAGGAGAGGACATGGACTGTAAATAGCCAGAATTTATTTGCAGCCTACTAGATAAAAATAACCTGGATTCTGGAAAGGCTAAAAGCAGTGCAGAGGATATTTTTGTAATGTGCTAAAACACAGTTCCAGAAAGAATAGCAACATACCTTCTGACCCTGGTAATCTGATTCCCTCTGCCTCTCTTGCAGAGTGGAGAGCAATGACTGCTTACTGTGCCCTGACAAAGCATTCAGACTCATTTGAACTGCATATTCTTCCCCTATCCTCATCTATGGCAGGTTTTGAGAAGCAGGGTGGATAAAAATCAATCATTTTTTATTTAAAATTAATACATTTTTCTTTAAAAAAAAAAGCCTGTTTAAACTATGAAATTACAACAACCTATGTTAAGGCCTAAATTTATTATAATCTATTAAAGTTGTATAACTAAAAAATGCTGCATCAAAAGGTCCTCAAATTTTAATGAATTAAAGATGCTGCTTTAATTATATATAGAATCATGGGGAACATCTTTAACCTCTGAGATCCACTCAGGCTATGTAAATATGTCACAATATTATTTTTGGTCTTTACTATAGAACAAAAGCAGCTATTTACACTTTTCCACACATAAGAAGTTTCTGTTGTGCAGAAAAGCTTTTACCTTAATGCCTTTTGGTCTCAATTTAGCTAACAGGCGCAGAGAAACTATTTTCTCATTTGGACTAGTTCATTTAAAGCTGAGATACCAATTCAGAGTTGAGAAAGCAGGAATACTTGTTTTCTTTTTCCAGTCAATAAAAATAAAACAAGTGGGAGAGGAGGAGATCTACTAATTTGATTTACAAAGCACCTCAGAATGTTAGGCACTTAACTCCAGCTCATTTTAATGGGAGTCGGGCACCTAACCTGCTTAAGCATTGTTATAAATTCCACTAGGTACCTATCTGCAACTTTAGTTGCCTAAATAACTTCTGAAAGGCTAACCCATGGAAGCCAGAGCAGGTTAATAAACAAAGGAAGTAATAAAGCAGTTTTAAATACATAACATGTTTTGATAAACTGAAAAGAAAAATATCCAGCACATTACATAAAACTATATTGTATACAAATAATTTTAAAATGGCATTTTTGTATATTAATTTTCAATTTCCATCCAAATGGAGCTAGACTCAAATCCCAAATAAAAAATTATCTAGTAAATAAGCATGAGCCATTTACCATTTTTAACACAATAAAAAAGCAAAACAATCTGAATAAATGCATGTTATGCTATATTATTGCTTAAATAAGTGTGTATAGTTATCTTCCTGGTTAGCAAAAAAACCCAACAAGTTTCATGTAAAGGCTACATTTGTTTGCAAATCAACATATTTTAACAGTTATACCAACCAATAAGATTGAACCTCTCTAGGAAAAGAACTAAAACAAATGTAGAACAAGATTAGAATCAATTATTTAAATCAAGGTATTGTGCACGCTGACTTAAAATCAAACAGGGCTGGAAAGCAACCTGGTGACCATCAGTGACTAGGGTACAAGGACATAAGGAGTAAAAACGAGGATCCCAAAATGGGATCTTATGTCTTCCTGACCAAGATATAGAAGACATGTTTAGCCTCTTACTTTGAAAAGTCTTGGGAAGACATCTGTTGGCTGCCCTCGTACCACAAACAAGCAGGAGCCGAGTTTTCTTAAACTGTTGTCCAAGTCTTCCAGGGACTGGAGTAGGAACCTGTGGAGGAGAAACAAACCTAGTTATCAGTATAGCTCAAAAATCACACAGCCAGCAAACCTAAGATTCAATTCAGCTCTCCGAGATAAATGTTAAGCCAGGAAATACAACTTCCAAGAATTCTGCTCAGTCCAACAGTTGGCAGACAGAACAGAGAAACGGCTGTGCCAGCCAATTCCCTACCAACCACACCAACACAGCACAGACAAATGCAAGATGTGCAAGAGCTCTCCAGGTCCTTCTTGCTCTTGTAATCCTGTCTACTGATGATAAAAGCCTGGAGAGTAACTAATACCCACCTGGCAGTTAGAGCATCCTTCAAACTGAGTCTTCCCAGACATGGTAATATCTATGTGGAGAACTTCAGACAACATAGCATCTGGCAGAATATATTGTAGAGAATAATCCTCAGCTGGAGGAATTTTAGATGTGAAATAATATGGTCTCTCTCCTCCAGTCTCCTATTTCAAAGCAGTGTTCCACAGATTACCCCAAAGATGACAGTGCTGGGTAGGTACAGGCCATGCACAGCACAAAGTGACACAAACATTTCTATCCCATGAGTAACAGAGGCCAAACATACAACCAAGACTTCAGAGATGCAGCATCAGTACCCAGGACAGCTGCAACTGTGCTATAAATTTGTATTCCACTGTGACCTTGACAACTAGGTCATTTGTCCACACTGCATCTCCTTTCATTCTTGGGATACTAACTTCACCCCTGACTCAGCCCCAAAAGCTGCTTCCAAAAATTGTCTCTCACAAAGTGTTTTGACCTTATGTTTCACACACATCACTTCACTAACTATAGCTAATGCTTCCTTTGTATAATAGTCCAGTTACAAAATATAATTGGATACACTTTTCATTCTTGTGTACCTTAACTCTGCTGGATACTTTTATTTAACTAATAGAACAAGTTTAAAATACTGTTTTTGTGCATTTTAAATTGAATTCTAAATTTCCAGCTTGATACAAATCACAAGTAAATAGGAAATACGTCATTCACCATTTTCTGACAAAAATTAAAAATCTGAATAAATGTATGTAAGCTATACAACTACTTAAATTAATATGCATAGAGAGAGTGTATCCTCCTGGTAAGCAAATAGCAGTACCTACTTTAGCGTAAAGGCTATACGTAGTAAGAAATCAACATGTTTTAAAGTCAACAGCCAATGAGAATCAAACAAACAAACAAAAAAAACTAAGTACAAATGCAAAACATGATTAAAATTACTTAAATCAAGATTCCCTGCTTGCTCAATTAAATCATGATTTAAATCATGCTGCATATCAAATTCAAGTTTCTTTACCTTGTTTTCAAGGCCCTACAAAAAGCAACTCCCCACCTACATCTCTGCCATGTTCTACTTTTGCATACTCAATGTTTTTTTTTGTGATGCTGCCAGCCTTAATAAACTTTTCGTTTGTTCACCGGCAGCTTCAGGATGCCATGACACTTGGAATTTCTTCCACAGTTTATGTGCCAAACATCTACCTCACCTCATTCAAACTACTCCTAAAGGCCCACTTCTGCAGCATCACCCACAAAACACCAGTGCTTGCAATAATTTAAGAAGTCTTCATACACGTAGGCCTGACAGTGGGTGTATGGCTAACAATTATATCTCATAAGCCAGGAGCTCCCTCACGCCTCTGATCTGCTGGAGTCTGTTAGATCCTCACTTGTCTATCAAGTCCATCATTTAAACTGCAAGCTTTTTGTGGTAAGGACTTGTCTATGCATTTCCTGTGAAGCGGGAAGACAGTGTTTAAAGGAAGGGGCACTGGACTCAAGAACAGGAATTCCAGGGTTCTACACCCAGCTCTGCTGCTTACTCACTGTGCTACCTTGAGTATCTCAGTTCCCCTCTTTCTTGGTTTCCCCATCTGTAAAATGGAAATAATACTTACCCCACCTACCTCAGTAAGGTATTGAGGGGGTTAATAATAAATGCAGGTATTAAATTCATAATACATGTATGGGCACTAAGACAGTATGTAATTTCCAACATGACAAATTTCACAGAGTTAAGTAAAACATGGGTTAACATATCTGCCTTATGATGTAGCTCTCTGGTCCAACTGAGTGGCAGAAAAGCAAGCAAAATACAAACTTCTCCTACACAGAGGCAATCTGAGTCCCGATTAATATTATATATTTACATAGCACCTTTCTGCTTAACAATCAGGTGTAATAATCTCATACATTGAGAATTGTGGCTATGGGGAGAACATGGGATTCCTAATAAATTCCTATGTAATTTAAAGTGTATTCTCATAACAGCTTATTCAGCGCAGCAGTGCCCAAAGGTGGATCATGACACAGTCCCGGGTGGTCCGCTGTCCCAACTGCATTCTTTAACTCCATGTGACTTGTGTAATCTAAGTACAAGCTATGTAAATGTAATGTTTTGAGCTATATATGTTGGACAGAGTATAGAAAAAAACTATTTAAAAAAAAGCTGCAACATGTCAAGTTTAATTCTCATGAGTACAACGGTGCATTTCACTGCAAGATAACCTAGCAGTGTACACACAGTCCACCATTTACAACTGTAAAAAAAATGGCAAGCAGTATTGTAATCTGACATGACTCACTTTATTTTTTGAAAATGAGAAGGGTGCACTAGTGGAGAAGAAAATGAAAGTCCTGGACCATCCACAACTACACAAAATGAACTGGCCAAAAAAATAAAGTGGTAAGAAAATATGATGAGACACACTTGAAGCTTGGATTCTTGGATGAATACCTGTTGCATCAGTGTGTTATAACTTATTTTATATTTTTATTTATAATATTTGATTATTTTCTAATTACAGTAGGGTTGGGTTTTTACTTACACAGCAGAGAGATTCAGATTTCTAAAAAATAAAAAAATATAGTGTTCAAAGTTGGACAACTATTTTGTTTTAAAAACAAACACTTTAAACAATTTTGTTAACTTTGTTGTGTTGCTTATTGTTCAGTTTTATACAAAACAGGGAAAAGACCATTTTAACACACATTTTGCTCTCAACATTTTTTAAAATTGTAGTTTTACTAAAACTGTTTGGTTTCAAAGATCCTGAAGCATTTCTTTGAGTGCATATTGCTAGGGATTTCTATCATTACAATTGTTTACACCAAAATGAAAAGGAAACATGTATATTGTTTATTTACAGTGTTCTAGTTTATATGTATGTAATAATTAAAATTAATAATTTTCCTCAAGAAGTGTGAACAGTGGGCCGCAGTGCTTATTGCGGCTGCACTGATGGGCCTGAGGGAAAAAAGTTTGGGAACCTCTGATCCAGGGGACCAGACAGCTTGGAGTGGGGGACATTAATGGATAGGGAGTCTTTCTACTTCAATTTAACTTGGAAGTGACAAAGTCTCACCTGCTTATGGTCGTTTGATGGCCCATGTGAAAAGGGTCACAAGCAGCCTATTCATTTCGTAGTGAACGATGCCCATATCACTAAGAATAGTGCCTAGGTCAATGGGGCCCTGACTGGATCCTATAGGCACTTCCGCAGTACAAAACAGAACCACCACAGTTGCTCCCGATTCACTGTGTCAGTGGAAAAGCCAAGGATTGAATGGGTCAGATTAACTAACCCCTCTCACACAAAACTGTGGTCCTCCCAGACCAGGAGTGAGTCACTGGTGCAGCAGCGTAATCCTCCCTTCTACCCAGGCTACTCCCGTTTTGTGGATGGATTGCAGCCCTGAAAACTAAAGTTAAGCCAGAACAAAATTCACAGAAAATTTTGAATACCCGAATTTCTGCATTTCTAGTAGTTTTGGTACTTTCAGAACTTTTGAGTTGTGCTATGTAGTGCTTTTAAAAACCATCAGAAGCCAGAATTTAGCAATAATCTTGCCACTCAAAGACTAAGCGGTGATGCACAACATGAGTGACTGATGAGTTAGTCCTACAAACAATTTCCCATATCTCATTCAGAAATTATTTTTACATTCTAAAGAGCATGCAGAGGACTTTTAACCAAGTGATTGTTCCCTCATTAAAACCTTGCAACTGGACACAAATGTTGAAGGGGTGCAAAGAAGGAGATCAGGTTATGCCTGCTCTTGCCTTGGTGTAGAAATCCTGCTTGTGTGTGCACAGCAGCATTGTTAAGGTAAATCCCCACTTGGCTGTCCAAATATGCAGGCAGCCAAGACAGTAATATCAGTATTATATAATATTAGGAGAGCACAACTTCGATGCCTACTAGGTTAAAAATCCTGCTCCTCGCACAGGCATTACACACCCAGAACATTGCTTCAGTTCCATAATTGAGGAAAAAACACGAAAAAAATCTGTCCACCCCAGTCCCTGTCCTCCCAGAAGCAGCCAAAGTATATTTCCCTAAGAATTGGAGGGGGATGGGAAGAGGATAAGGGTTTGTGTTTAAGTGCAAGCCCACACAATGCCTGAAAGCTAGAGACAGGGAGTTGCTTATTGCTATCATATAGCTCTGAGGTTTCAGGGACTTGTACAGAGTAACTGGGGAAAACGAGTTTTCCAAAGTGAAACATGCACCAGCCACAGCTGCTTTACATAATTGGGCATCCTGTAGGTTATGAGATTTTTCTAAAGCCCATAGCACCTTCCCACATGGTCAGAAATGAGATTCCAAAGGCTGCAACTGGACTGGTGACATGAACAAGGTAACTTCCGCATGGAACTGGTTTTGAGCAAAGTTAGTAGAATTGAAAGTCCAAGCTTAGGGAGAGCATACAGAATTTTTTTTTTACTGTGCAGCAAGATAGAGTAGCAAGATCAGCTAGACCCACACAAATAAAGTAACTCCTCAAAAATGTTCTAGTATTTAGGAAGAAATTCTCTCCCTCCCCCCATCCTTAAAGCAACACATCTTTAAAGCATGTGATAAATGCTACTCTCAATGGAAGGGTGAACTAATTTGGGACTAATACTTTTACCATCACTCTTCACTGGCGCATAGAATATTGGAACACACTGTTTTTCAGGGCCAGGATCAGTCCTTTACCAGCTGCTTTTTAACATAGCTGAGTGATGTTTGAGGGCACCAGGACTCTCACAGATTAAGCATTAGAACAATCCTGCACTGGCCCCTGATGATTAACTAGCTGTGACATAAGAGGTCTTTCCCATCTCTAACATCTAGGATTCTATATGCTGGGTCAAGGCCAGCTACAAATTTGAAGCATTTCCAGACCAGTGGAACAGGAATGGATTACTAATTAAAAGAGGTGCAGCACAGGCATTACATACCAACACCTTCCAAAAGCTGAGCCAGACATCAACAACAAGATTACGCCCATCTGCGGACTTCCCGGCAGGTTCCAATCTTTCCCAGTTCTTTCACACTATAAACATTCTTTAGAGGTTGGTCTGTAGTTTGTATAGTGGGGAGCACAGGGCATTCCCTTCAATTATGTGAAAAAGTAGACATTTATATACTGTTTAAACTGCCCTCATCTCAGCAGGGATCACAAAACTGGTCAAAACCAATGACTTAGTTTTCTCTAAGATAGCACTTAAAAACACCATGCACGAAACCCATAGGTGCCCAAGGTGGAGAATTCCTCTTTTCACTTCCTATTTAGAGACATCATGACTCAAAGCAGACAAAAGACTTGTTTACTATTGCCAACTACAGGTCAGCACCCCACTGCTTGTTCTAACTACCATTAGGGAGAATATATAACCATAGAGATGAAACACATCAAGTGGTGCACTTCTCTGCTGCTGTAGCTCATCTTACTAACATTTTTTGTGGACCACTAAGATTCACTTCTTTACTGACTCAGGGAGTGTTTGGGAAGAGTCTGCCACTACTGAAGCAGTACGTGGGTGAATGACGTAAAAGGCAAGCACAGCTTGGCCTCTACAGCAACGAAGTAGATCTCCACAACAAAATATACCCAGCCCATGTGTTAAATAACACATTGCACAACCATCACCGGTACACTGACATACCCCGAAGCAGATCACGCTTCTTGCTGACATGTTACGACGTTAAAGGGAAGCCTGTGCTGTTTTCACTGGTTCTGATCTCAGAATGACCCAAATATCCATGTAACGGGGCTGAGATGTGTCTCACTCCTCACTCGTGTCAGGCACCCGGACAGACTGGTGACCTGCAACCCTGATGCACCGATCCCAGAGGGGGAGAAGACAGCGACCAAATGAACACGCAGCCAGGCCTCTCTTACCTAACGCCCGTGTCCTGCAGCCTAGCAAAGGCAGCAGCAGTGGAGACTCAACATATACGGGAAGGGGCAACAAAATCGGGGCCCGTTCCCCAAACGGCAGCGGGAGGACTGGCCGGGCTGGGGCTACCGGCCCTTCCCGAGCCCACCCTTGCGGGCGCGGGCAGGACACGGGCCGCAGGGGAGGGGCTCCTGGAGGCACCAGCTGCGTAGCTAATGCACCGGACTCCCCGCTCCCTGGGGCCGCTGCCCGGGGGAGCCCAGCCCGGGAACCTCCGTCTCCCCCGCAGGATACGGGCAGGAAGGGTGGGAGCCCGCGAGCCGGGGCGCCCAGAGAGCCGCGCGCGGCGCCCGCTCCCCCCTTACCGCCAGCGGTTGATGCCCACGGCGGAGGAGGCGGCGAACCAGGGGTCCAGGATGTAGATGCATCGGACGGAGCTGGCGTCCCGCAGCGCGGCCTGCAGCGCCGGGTTGTCGTGGAGCCGGAGCCCCCGGCGGAACCAGTGGACGGAGCGGGCCAGGCCGAGCGGAGTCGAACCTGCAGCCGCCATCTCTGCTGCGCCGCTTCTGCCGACACCAAGTCCGCCCCGCCCGCCGGGACCGCCTCCCGCGCGCGCCGGCGCCACGCCCACCGCGCCCGTCGTTGGCCGGGGACTCCATTGGGCAAAGCCTCAGCTGCACGTTCCTGCCGCGTGCCGAGGGGGCGGGGCTGCGGCGAGCCGGAGGTTGCGCCGACGGGGCAGGACGAAGAGGGTGAGGGGGGAGAACAGGGCTATGGGGGCGGGGCATAAGGGGGCGGGGGCTGGTCCCGCGCAGGGCCGGCGTCCTTACTGCGATGGGGCCCCCACGCGGCTGCCGTTGCTAGCGGGCGGCCTGGCCCGGCATTAACGGTCTGGGAACAGAGAACCCCGCGGTGCCCGGCTGCACGAGCCCCGAGCCTGCGCCCCTCCGCTCAGCTCCATTTACACCGCAAGCTCCGCCCGGAGGGCAGCCCTCTCTCCGGCGCGTTGGTTCGGCGGGGCCCCGGCCCCGCTACACAGCGAGAGCGGCCTTGCCACGCCGAGGGACTCCACTCGTTCCTAGGCCCCAAACGCATGAGATTTACACAGAGCCACACACCGGGAATTGTGGGTAGCTGCCGTCAGGGTTGAAGTTTTCAAGCTAATCTCAAGGACTGATTTTTTTTTTTAAGATAAGATTCAACCCTGTTCACGTGACTTCAGGGCCAAGGGCTTTGAGAGAGAGACTATCACAAGTGTGATCTTAAAATCACGAGAGTTGGCAACACTTTTTAAAAACCCAGTGTTCTGTCTAATTTGCCTCCCATCCTCCTCGTTCCTTGGTGATCTCTGTGAACAGCGCTAACAAAGTGTAGCTGCGTCCACGGCTTCTGGGACTGAGACACACACCTGACTAGAGCCAAAAGGGTTAATCAGCTGAGAAATCCTTCTCCTAGCACAGTGATTTTCAACCTTTTTTTATTTGCAGACCCCTAAAAAATTTCAAACGCAGGTGCAGACCCCTTTGGAAATCTTAGACATAAGACCACAGGTTGAAAACCAGTCCTATGAATCCCAGGGAAATTGGTCTGATGCTGCATAGAGAGCAAGTACGGGGGATGCAGATGATGGAGGATTCCTAACGCAGCACTCTTAAGGAGGACAGAATATCAGCTCAGTGACTGCACAACCACTGTTAGCTGAGGCACTCAGGGAGCACCCAGAATCTGTTTGGTGACATGGTGCTGGTTGCTTGAGACCATAAACTACCAGAACAATTCCTTCAGGCCAGCAGAACACAGGAGTGAGTCCTATCCATACACACAGCAGCGAATATGCATGGAGGGAGAAGGGTAATGTCCTTCATGCAGCCACATCTGAGCTCAGTGCTGAAAATATCAGAAATTCCAGACCACATCATTTAACAAACATGAAACTATGTCTTTCAGAAAGTGATTACAGGCCAACAAGTCTGAGAGGAGAGGCTACAATGACAATTCAGTGTCAGGTTCAGTGATAGGCAATAGTGAAAGGCCAGGACTGCTACCATGCTGACACAAGTAGAAGGAATTTAGGGTCTCCCTGTGTGCTAGGAGCACTGCAGAAACCACTATTCATCTTGCACACTTTGCCAGCTCTGCAGACCAAAATAGTCCCCAAGGTTCCAATCCACACTTTTATTAAACAAGTTTGACAATCACAGGTCGGTGTTTGCAACCTAAAATTTATCCCAGTAGAAAAATTAACAGAGACCATGGAAAAAAATCCATCCCCCTACCAAAAAAAGTGGCCTTCAATGAGGCAAATGTGATTCAGAACTCCAGTGAGGTTTAGGCTCCTGGAATCAGGAACAATTCACCCAGCAAGAGTGCGAGTGGAGGAAAGAGAGAAAAAATGCCCTACTGCTTTCATCATAATGGCCTGGTACTCTTTGGGACTTGTTAGCGCACTGTGGGATAGATCACACCAGCTCCTGCCATACCCCACTTTAGTAATCCTTGGAAGGTGAAGGAGCTCAGAGGTTAGATATTTACTAGGGAGGAAAAATCGATGTCTGTAAATCAAGACGAGGAAAAGGTAGCTCTTCTGTAGCCACAATGGCACTTGAATGAGACAGAGTAGGGCACAGAGGTTTCTGTGCTAATCAGACTCTTAAGTGGGAGTCTGGATATGAATTCAGCCCAACTGCATTCACCCCTGATCTGGGATTTCTTGGTAAAAGAGTTGCAACTTCCCAGTAAGTTCTTGGTGCAGCTGAATTATGGCATTTTCCATGCTCAAACGTCAATTTTCACGCTGTGGGCACCCCTTCTAGTGAGGATCACCAGGTAAGGCAACCATCAGGGGTAGAGAGCAATTCACCCTGAAACTGGCCTAATTATGATAGCATTATTGCCAGAAAGGCAACTCTACCCCTAATACAGAAGGCTAATGAGAAATGTCTTGAATTTCCCAATTCATTATGGGGTACTCACCCCAGAACAGTAAATGGTTCAGAAACCCACAAGAAGAGAGAGCCAGCTACTCTTTCACCAAGGCAAAGTCCCAGGTACCCAGTAAGGACCGAGCAATATTATGTGAAAGGGCCAGCACCATCCCCCTGCCCAACACAAGGAATGTTGCTAGCTTTTGGAAGTGGGATAAAAATTCTGTCCCATCCTTTTAGTCATTTATTGGACAAGCAAACCCCTTGGGTGTGGGAGAAAAACAGAGTTATACAACCTTGAAGGATCCACACCAAGAAATACTGACTCCTTGGACAGGCAATTTAGAGGCCCCAGAACTGTTGGTGAGGGGATTTCCAAGTGTATATTGCAATGGGGTAGGAACAGGAAGGACATCCATTTTCATTTATAATTAAGGCTAGGTTATGTCACAGATGTCACGGAAGTCACAGATTCCGTGACTTCCAGAGACCTCTATGACATTTTCTGCCTCACCCCGGGGTGGTGGGGCCAGAGCTATCAGCTGCTGTGCCCACCCTCCCCTGCAGCCCTCAGTTGCTGGGGGGGGGGGGGACGACAGCCCCCAGGTGGTGGGTGCTGCCCCCCCATCCCTGCAGAAGTGCTCTGGCTCTCATTCTCCCCCCCGTTCCCCAGGCTTCAGTCACCCCGTCAGCCCTCTCTGCCCTCCCATTATTTTTAGTAAAAGTCACAGACAGGTCATGAGTTTCCGTAAATTTGTGTTTACTGCCCGCGACCTGTCTGTGACTTACTAAAAATAACTGTGACAAAATCTTAACCTTATAATAGGAGGAAGGAGTAGCCTGGAAAGTCTGGCTACCTGCCCCTCCCCTACATTTAGGTGCAAGATCTCACCACTTAAATTGGTGGCTAATCTAGAAGTAGCCATTATCTGTCCCCAGACACACACACCTCATGCCCTTTTCCCTCTCCATCACCAGGGGAGCAGTTGGGTGTCCATATAGTGTTTAAACGGTAGCAGCAGTTTAAAAAAGCCCCAGTACTGACAGAAGGTCCCCCTAATACACCCTCGTCCCATCAACAAATGCCCTTTCCTATTCAAGAAATGGTGAAATCCAAAGGAAGTGACATTCTCCCCTCCACAATTTTAGTAAACACACTGTATATACGGGACGCCTTTGGCTTCACTCTCGACACCCCTTTCTATGCACTGCATAATTCAATGTTTTCCTGCCCTGAAGGTTCCTGATCCTGGCTTCTTTCCCATTGAAGCTCCACTCCATAGGCACAGCAGCAGAAGTGCAGACTGGAGCTGGCCTAGACGCCAGTCTCATTTTTCTCGCCTGTTTTTGGAGTGGATTCCTCCTGTACCTTCTTCATCTCCAGCCCTTTTACCCATGTGTAGGCAAAGGAGCCTCCTAGAACCATCATGTTGCTTGTCCACCACAGGAAGCTTTTGGTCTCCTCATAGTAGCAGACAGCCAGCACTGTCTGGGCACAGGCCTTAGCCGTCCCAGACACATTGTGGGTGAGTGGGCTGGTGAACTTGATCTGGAGTCCCGTCACGTAACCGATTGCAAAGCCAAGCACTCCTCCCAGGGTCATCATGCCCCAGAAACCAGGGTTCCCCAGCTTGTCGAAGTGGTAGAGGGTGTGGAACTCACCGAGCAGCAGCATGAGGGGCAAGAATAGGACACAGGCGTTCATATTGTTGTAGAAGGTCAGGCGCCAGATGCTGCCATCCACGGCAGGCAGCACTTTCTTGGTGTAGATGGCATTGAGTGAGACACAGAGACTTGCCAGGATCCCAAAGATTATGCCGGTCCATGACAGAGTGCCCTCTGCTCCCTCTTGGTCTATGCCCAGCCAGAATCCACCTGCAACCATACAGAATTAGTGACATACTGACAGGGAATTAGAGACACCAGAGATTCAAACACTATACACACTCCCTTAAAAAAAAAATCCATTGTTAGTTGCTTTTTAAATGGGTCTGTGACTGACTCTCCCCTCCACCTTATATGGAGGAAGATGACCTGAGTGCAGCACCAAGGTTAAGGTTCTCCTCTTTGGGTTTTTTTGTTTTTTGTTTTGTTTTTATAATCTTTACAATCTCAGGAATGTCAAATCTTGTCTTCCCTGGTTTTGTTTGAGGATGCGTATTATGAGGTCTCACAAAATGTTTATTTAGTCATTGGAATAAGATAGAGGTTTTTTAATGCTTAAGAACTGAAAGCTCCCTAAGAACTAAACCAGTCTAACTAAAAATTCTATCAGGTTGCTCAACTTTCACTCTCTTGGCTCCAGGGTTGTCATTTCTCTACTTTTCCAGTTACTAGAGAGTCTTCCAGCCTAGAGAGGAACCAAATGTTTAAAGTAAAAAAAAAAAAAAGGGGGGGGCATACTTTACTAGACAAACAAAAACAAAACAAACATCTCCAAAAACCTCCCAGGGTCTTTTTCTCCTCCATAAATTGGGGGGTAGAGGGGCAGAAAGGGGGAGGAGGAAAGGTATAAGCTCAACTATTTTTCCTTTGAAGTTCATCCACTTTTGAGCTGTTGCAAGACATTAAACTGGACACACAGGTATAGCCAGACTCAACAGGCTCTACTCACCAATAATGACCCCACAGGCTATCAGGGCAT